AAAATCTATATCGCTGGAATAGACGAGAAAATCTATCGCTGGAACTAGATGAGAAAATCTATCGCTGGAAAATATAATCAATATCATTATAAGAGATGGAGGAGGTGTGAAGGTGAAGTACTCTGTTGTACGGCCAGGACAAAATACCTCTCTCTCTCTCTCTCTCTCAGATTGGTGAGACAAGATGATAGGGTGAGACAGATGGGGAGACAGGTGACCGGGTGAAACATATGACCAGGTGACCAGGTGAGACAGGTGACCGGGTGAGACAGGTGATAGGGTGAGACAGATGATAGGGTGAGACAGATGATAGGCTGAGACAGGTGACCGGGTGAGACAGGTGACCAGGTGAGACAGAAAGGGGTCTGGGAAAGAACGTCTCTCAGAACTAATAAATCCTGAGAAATACCGTCACATCCCAGACATCTCCATGGCAACTCAGTGACAACAAACCTCTTTCCCCTCACTTGGCGCTGGTAAAATGACCCTTAGTACCACCTCGTTATAAAGGTCATGTTCCCCTGGCGCTGGAGAGTGTACTAGTGCCCATGCTCGTCTTGGGGTCAACTATGCCGCCCTAGTCTGTCTCCTCACACGATCTCCTGAATTTTGTTAGCGGATAATTTTTTTTTTCCTGGATGTGTTCGTAAGACATTCGTTAAATTCCCTTTGTAAAGTGTTCCTAAAAATATTCATTAATAGGTACTATGTTCTTATTGTATCATCAAGTTCATTATTCTCTCAAGTGATGAGTGGTGGAGGAGAGTGGTGGAGATGAGTGGTGGTGGAGGGTGATGATGGTGGTAGAGTGGGGGGGTGGTGGTGAAAACCACCTACAGTCGTCGCCGCCGATGCCCTCGCCACCACCTTCACCACGACCATCCCCCTTCACCATCACCACCCTCCACGACCATCCCCCTTCACCATCACCACCCAACACGACCATCCTTCACCACCCACCACCCTCGACCATCCCCTTCACCAACACCCTCGACCATCCCTTCACCATCACCACCCTCCGGCCATCCTTCACCACCACCACCCTCGACCATTCCCCTTCACCACCACCCACCAGGGCCGCATCCCCCTCACCAGCACCACGACCATTCCCCCTTCACCCCCACCACCCCCCTCTGTACCACCACCCCCCTCCTGCTTACCGGCCATTCCCCCCTTCTGTACCACCCTCGACCATCCCCCCCCTCACCAGCACCACCACAACCATCCTTCACCCACCACCACAACCCATCCCCCTCACCAGCTTCCACCCTCCATGACCATCCCCTCACCCACCACCACGACCATCCCCTTCACCTACCACAACCATCCCCCCTCACCAGCTTCCACCACCACAGCCATCCCCCCTCACCAGCACCACCCCACAGCCATCCCCCCTCCCACCAGCACCACCCTCGACCACCCCCTCACCATTACCACCCTCCGACCATTCCCCTTCACCACCACCACCCTCCACGACCATCCCCTCACCACCACCACGACCATCCCCCTCACCACCACCACCACCCTCCACGACCATCCCCCCTCACCACCTAAGTACAATTAATTTTCCACTGCGTAAGGTATCGTAACCCTTTGAGTTATCTGTCAATTACGATAGGGAGACCAGGAGAGGAGGCGGAATAGCAATATATGTCAAAGATAATTTAAAGTGTGGTAACAAAAATAAAAATAAAAATGATTTGGATACATAATTTGGATAAAATTAACTGATGGTACAGAAAAATTAACCATAGGAGTAATATATAAACCTCTTAATCATGATAAGGTTAAAGAGTAAGTTATTTGTTATGGAATACTAAGGGCATCCAGACATAGTGAAGTGTGTATAGTTGGTGTGGCGTGTCCAGGATGTGGTGTGTCCAAGATGTGGCGTGTCCCTGGTATGGCGTGTCCCTGGTGTGGCGTGTCCAGGATGTGGTGTGGGGTGTTCAGGGTGTGGCGTGTCCCTGGTGTGGCGTGTCCCTGGTGTGGCGTGTCCCTGGTGTGGCGTGTCCCTGGTATGGCGTATCCATGGTGTAGCATATCCAGGGTGTGGCAGGTATCCCACACCCTCAGCCACATCATCTAGAGGTTAATATAATGGGAGATGAAGGATGAGTCGATCGATCCTGTCCGTCCTATAGAGACAGAGAGGAATGACGTCACCAGTAGTCCTTCCCTTCACTCTCTACGGGGGTAACCTCCACCAGCTGGACGACCGTGAGAGCCAGTTTAACCTGACCTAACCTACACCAGCTGGACGACCGTGAGAGCCAGTTTAACCTGACCTAACCTACACCAGCTGGACGACCGTGAGAGCCAGTTTAACCTGACCTAACTGGCCTAACCTCCACCAGCTGGACGACCGTGAGCCAGTTTAACCTGACCTAACCTGACCTAGCCTCACCAGCTGGACGGGCCGTGAGAGCGGATTTAGCCTGACCTAACTGGCCCTAACCTCCCACCAGCTGGACGTGAGAGCCAGTTTAACCTGACCTAACTGTTCTTAACCTCCACCAGCTGGACGACCGTGAGCCAGTTTAACCTGGCTAACACACTAACCTCCTGGCTGGACGACCGTGAAACCAGTTTAACCTGACTGGCCTGGCTAACCTACCAGCTGGACGACCGTGAAACCGGTTAACCTGACCTCCTGGCTGGACGACCGTGAAACCAGTTTAACCTGACCTAACCTCCACCAGCTGGACGACCGTGAGCCAGTTTAACCTGACACAACCTGACCTAACCTCCACCAGCTGGACGACCGTGAGCCGAGTTTGACAAATAACCTGACCTAACCTCCACCAGCTGGACGACCGTGAGCCAGTTTAACCTGACCCTAACCTGACCTAACCTACCAGCTGGACGACCGTGAGCCAGTTTAACCTGACCTAACCTACCAGCTGGACGACCGTGAGAACCGGATTTAACCTGACTAACCTACACCAGCTGGACGACCGTGAAACCAGTTCGCTGACCTAGCTAACGCCTCCACCAGCTGGACGTGAGCCAGTTGGCCTGGCCTAGCACCAGCTGGACGACCGTGAGAGCCAGTTTGGCTGACCTAACACCAGCTGGACAGACCGCCCAGAGCCAGTTGGCCTGACTGCCTACACCAGCTGGACGACCGTAGTTTAACCTGACCTAACCTACACCAGCTGGACGACCGTGAGCCAGTTTGCTTGTTCAGCCTACAGCTGGACGACATGAGGCAGCAACACAGCCTAACCTACACCAGCTGGACAGAACCGTGAGCCAGTTTAACTATTCTTTCTGGACGATTGAGCCAGTTTAACCATTTAACCTCCTGTGGACGACCGTGAGAGCCAGTTTAACCTGACCTAACCTCCACCAGCTGGACGACAGGAAGAGCCAGTTTAACCTGACCTAACCTCCACCAGTTGGACGACCGTAAGAGCCAATCTAACCTAACCTGACCTAACCTAATCTAAAGTTAACAACCTAACCATGCTAACCTAGCTTAACCTAAATGTAACCTAACCTAACCTAACCTAACCTAACTTACATCAACTGAACGACAATAAGAACCATTTAAGTTTATAAATTACTCGTGTGTGGGTGTGTGTGTGTGTGTGTGTGTGTGTGTGTGTGTGTGTGTGTGTGATTCATCTTTCTTCATACGGGAGTTGAGTTACTGAAAGAGTCAAGTTAAGGACCAACATTTGTTAAGCAGTGTGGAAAGTTGACTTGTGTTGCACCCAATGTGTTGCACCCAATGTGTTGCATCTGTGTCGAAAGTGGCTGTCATCATCACTTAAATCTCCAGTTAATAAAATAAATTTGTAAACTGAGACGAAATTCCAACTTTTTTTTTTCTCTCTCCATCAACAGAAGTGAATAAAGTCTTTTAAACGACATTTTTATTGAAGACACTAAGTAAACATTGAAGACTACGATGTTGGAACCTTTTGAGTAGTACGATGTTGGAACCTTTTGAGTAGTACGATGTTGGAACCTTTTGAGTAGTACGATGTTGGAACTTTTTGAGGAGTACGATGTTGGAACCTTTTGAGTAGTACGATGTTGGAACCTTTTGAGTAGTACGATGTTGGAACCTTTTGAGAAGTACGATG